AACAGAGAATATTAGGTTTCCCCTGCAAACTCAGCTTTTGTGCTCCAATTACATACTTAGCGTCAGTCAAGCTTTTGGCCCTCTAGAATTCCTCTGCCCCTCCCCCGCAATGCGGAGGTGTAGGTACACCACTGAGTCCAAGAGTTGGTAGGAATTTTTTGGGAAGAGGCGCCTCGCGGCGCCGGTGCCCGCGATTATCTAATTTTAGTAGCCAAGAGTTGGTCATCCCTCGTGGATGCTGTTGCCATGATGAACAGAGTTCAGGACTATATCCTAATATACCAAAGAATAACTAGTCAGATGATCATGAAGATTATCTGACTAGTTATCTGATCTTTGTTATGGCAGTGAGAGGAAAATTATTCGTGAAGAACTGCATATGTGTGCATGTTAAAAGTGTCAACTAGAAGGATCCTACAATTATTGACTCCTTTTCGGAAGACGGATAAGACATCATTCCACAATGGTGCATAATAAAATATTTCCAGCCACATCATCCAAAATCATTTGCTTACTGCGGACATCAAAATTACTTTTCCATTGACTATACATCACAAGACTAACAAATTTGCTTGAGCGAGAAGGTTTCAATATTTTACTCTAGACATATGGAACTTTTTCTCTAGATTGATGTGTCCAGATTAAGGAGGGCACATGTCAATGCAATGATAAGACAACGATACAAGGGTCGATGTGAATACTTTTTACAAGAACATTGCTAACAGTATGCAACGAAACTGAATGATAAAGGAATATTTCAAATATAATTAATTATTTTAGATTCTAAAAAAGTATTTATTGTTGAAATAATATATATGCTTAGTTTTCGTAATATACGTATTACATCAGAAATATTTTCTTCGTTGCTTTAAATTAATGTTTCATTAACTAAAGCAGCATTGTGTTTTGTAAATCGTTAATTGAAAATAGAAATTTGGAGAATGATCTTATTCCTGGGGGGAAAAGAGGAAACGTTTTATACTCAAAAATGTTCCGTGAAACGCCGGGCTTAATAGAGGGAAAAGAGGACAAGATGGATGAGAAGTGGAACAAATTTTGAAAAAGGAAATTTTAATTGCAGAGCTATAAAAATCACTTACATCGACCTCGTACACACACAGAAGTGCTAGCGTCGAGAGGGAAAGGGAAAATTCCTGAGGGGTTAAAAGTTAAGCACTTCGCAAAAGCACGTGCTGTGACGGTCTAAGCGGAGGGGAAAGAAAACCTTCCAATTAGGTAAAGAAGTCGAAGAGATTTCGAAAAAAGGAATTTTAATGGCATATTAATACAGAAACCACACCCACCTCTTGAAGTGCTGTTATTGAGGAGAAGGGACGTGGAAGTTTATTAAGTCAAAAAAGTTCGTGCAACCATCATTTTAGATTCTTGGAAAGAGATTACTGTTAAAAAGTAGTTAATGTACTTAGTTTTTTATAATATTCCTAATCAGCATCAGACACATTTTCTTTTTAATGCTTTAAATGAACATTTTTTAAAACTAAAGTAGTATTGTTTTTTGTAAGTTATTGATCGAAATTTGAAGGATCTTATCCCTGAAAAGGACAAAAGAGTTCTATATTCAAAAAGTCTTGTGCAATGCCGGGCTAAAGGAAAAGAAAAAAAACCTTTCTAAATATTAAAAGAAGTGTACAAAAATTTAAAAGAGGGAATTGTAACGACATTAATAGAGAAATTACACACACACTCCAGGAAATGCTGACACTAAGAGGAGAAGAGGAATTTCCAAGGGCAATATATTATGCATTTTAGAAAGTGTGTGCCACGCCGGACCATGCAGCTGGTTAAATATTGATACATACAATTAAGAAGGCTTAAGAATTCACAGTAAATATTCAAATAGGATTATAAAGAATACTCATACTTGAATATTTTACGGTTAAGTATGGCGCTTACAAAGTAATTTATTCCTGGAACAACATAATGTGCTATAATTTCGCTCGAATTTCTTTCAATTGCTTGTTCGCGAATTTTTCGAACATAAAAACTTTATTTTCAAGTCAAATTGCATGCTTACTTTATAAACTGTGATCACAAAAAATAAGAAGAAAAGATATAAACAGAAAACTTTAGAAGAATTAAACTAACAAATAGTTCTGAAATATAAACTTTTTTTTGTCAGAAAGGAGCTAGAAGCATTCCACGCTCGTGTGTGACGTACATTGCTTAAGAACGTCATTCTGTTCTTGTTTGGTATAGCACTTGTTAGGGGTTCTAGCAGTACTCATAATGTGTATCTGCACTGAGTAGCAGTAGTTGTAGTAGTAGACAGAGAACATAAAATTTAAATAAGGTGCTCTTGATGTTAGAAATTTGATTTAATGCTAAATTTTCTCTCCATATAGTACTTGTACCTAAACCCACTTCAACTATAATGATAGTTGACTGTATCTTTACAGAAAGGGGTGTAATTCACAACAGAGATTCATTTTTCTCTAGTGTTTTAAACGTTCGTCGTTAACTACAAAATACAATTCTTCGCGGCCCGTAGGTCATGGGTGTGGGAGGGTTCGAGGAAGAGAAACAAACATGATCTTAGAATAACTAATTTTATTCAACCTTTAACACTTTTACGAACTACACTTTTATAACTAAACTTTGGGACCACAAAGAAATCTTAACCCGAATTTAGGTAACTAAATTAAGCAAGGCACTTGCTTAAATCTCTTTGTATCATCCAGCTCGCAGCCTGCTAGCTTGTTCTGGTTCAAGATTGATGCCTTCCACTATACCCTCGGATTCTCCTTCTACTATTAATCTTTAGGTGAGCGATCGCCAGTCACTATCTACTAACACTTGGAAATCAGTACAGGATCAACGATTAAACTTTACCCGCCTACTCAACGTGTGGCACTTAAATAGAAGTTGCATCTGCATAAATCACGTCATCTCTACATAAAGTGGTTTTTAAGCTAACATAACAGTTAAAGAATATTTTTCCCAAGAGGATTAGTAGAAGAACTCTAATAGAATCCGTTACAAATTGATTTCGTTTTTTGCTTAGATTACATGCAGTTTAAAGAAAAAATGTGAATTTCCTTGAAAAGAATTGGAATCTATTGAACAAAAGTGAATAATTTATTAAATATAGAATTGATAATTATGTTAGAATGTAAATTACTCCGTCTCCATAAAACTACACAGCAGAAAATCTCATGACATTATGAAGTTAATACAGTGAAAATCGTTTAACACAAAACTGAGGGGACTGAAATATTTTTTCAGGTTAAAAGAATTTCGTGTTAAAAGATATTTAAAAAAACATATATTTAACAAATTTAATATTTTAGATTACATTTTGTTGTATATGCATGTGTATTTAATAAAATTGAATGGAACAAAACATTCACAGGAACAAAGAAATCTAATACAAAACAAGTTTTTTTGAAAAACAAACCATTTATTGAATTTTTGGAAAATAATCCGATATTTTTCTTTGCAATGTCCTTTTTAGCATTAAACTTTCAACAGATTGTTCCATTTTTTTATTCATTCCACCATTAGAATGTGCGTCTAAATAACTCTGCACATTTTTTATGATGTTTCTCATTTCGGATGAAGTGGAAACAGAAGGTGTATCATTCATTTCATTTTCGTCATCGGAATCTGCATAAATGGTGTTGTTTGAGCTTCGAACAAATTCCGAAATGTCTTTGTCTGTCGTAATTGGGGCTGTAAACACATTATCATCATCTAATGCAACGAATTCTTCCCGTGATGAACCTACATGGCTGGTATTTTCCGTATTTTATTCATTCCCAGAAGGAAAATCATTTCGTGTTAAGTGATTTTCATTTCGCGTTAAGAGAAAAAGTGCATGAAAATACATAGTCGTTGTGTCGGGACCGTTGTTATTATTTCGTGTTAACCAATATTTCGCCTTAAGCGTTTTCACATTTAAACGAATTTCAATGTATAGGAAAAAATTCATATCATAACAGGATTATCCAAATAGTACATTAAGTAATAACATACTTCATTCAAGTTAATTCTTTTTCTCAAAAGTTAGAGTATATTTTTATTCAACAACGAGAACTTTTTACTTATCTCTTACTAAAAAAGAATAAAAGTCCATCACTGCACAATAACTCTCATCACAAAAACCCTTCTTGATAGGTAAATCCCCAATAATGGAGGTAAAACAAGTTTAATTCGAATAAAAAACACTCCTAAATGGTAAGTGATAATTCAAAAGCAAAATTTTCTCTTTTTCCCCCTCTCATTTAAGATTTATATCAGAGCATTAAAGAATTACATTAAAAAATGGCTTAAAAAGTGTCAATACCCACTTTATTAAATGCTTACCAAATCCCCCAGTCATTCCCTCCAGGATTCTCTAATTACCCTTTCCACCTAATCACCCTCTTCACTAATCACCCCTCCTGCGGAGTAAGCAAGGCTAAATCATTAAGAAAATTATGTAAGACCCGAGTATAAGAACGCATACCTCGTTATTTTCTTCCTAAGAAGTCATTATATCCACTTAAGTGGAATTATTTGAGTTTTTTTAATTAAAAAATTGATGAGGTAAGTAAGGTGTGCGAAATTTTTGAGTGTATAATTGGTGAGTAAAATTTTATTTATTTTTATTTTAAAGTTTTCTTGAATGTTTAAAATTTCGTTCCTAAGATTATAATTGGTCCCTTGACTCATAACTAAAAGTTCACCATCCTCTAATCGAAGCCCATAACATCACTTTATAATTCGTAGATGATTGGAATATATCTAGGGGAAAAAAACCATTGTAGGTTTATAATTTAAAATTAAATACCTGCTGCCAATAATAACCGTCTAATTCATATGTAACAGAAAAAGTGACTTTAAATTGTTGAAAACTTTTGTATGTTTTACGGCAAAAAATTGCACGAAACAGATTAAAAATTTCATCACAGGATCATCTTCTTTTAAAAAATATTTCCACCAGGCTTTTTCTGTAGTTCAAAAGTCTTTTAGTATAGTTAATAGAATCAACCACGGTCACCGCCCTACCCAGTATGGTGGTTATGATACTCGGTTTTTAATCGAGTTGGCTCGGGTTCGAATTCCGAATAAGGCATGGGTCAGTGTTTCTCAAACTTTCGATATTCGCGACCCAATTCGATATTCATCACCCCCCCCACACATACAATAACAATGTATTGAATGCAGTAATAATGTATAACACTTTGACACTAAAGCTACAATACAGTCTTAATTATAAACTATGCAAATTGTCAATGTAAGTATTAAGTTTTGTATACAAATTTGTACACAATTAGCCAATGGAAAAATGAATATTAAATATTAAATTTGTTCTTAACTTAGTATTGATACTTAATATCAAATATATTGTGCCTTCTTGATACACATTTATAAGTATAGTATATCAGAGTAAATGTGTATTTTGTTCTTTGTTATGACAGGATATATTTTGTTTTGCTTCCTTTTAGTAAATTGATAAATGTTTTTAAATAATGTTTTACTTTCGACTTTTCGATATGCTCGCGCCCCCTTATAGGGTTATCACGCCCCCTAGGGGAGCGCGCCCCACAGTTTGAGAAACACTGGCATAGGTGTATCTTCAGGGAAAGAAGTCGGACTTTCGAATGAAATGGATTCCCGTCTCGAATGGAAAGCAGCGCACTACTTCTATTCTATGTTGTGATCATCGTTTGGATAATAAAATCTATATTCTTCGGTGATTGTTCTGTATGCTTTTCTTTATCTATCTCTCGTCTTTCAAATGTATCCCAGGATGTGAAACACACACAACAACATCAAGTACGGTCAGTCGAAAAGGCTGACACTCAAATTAACGTTCACTCCCTACACTGAGCCTGAACCCCGACAAGTCAAACAGGTATTTTTATATCTAAATCTGATATTTTTTTATCTAAACGTGTAGGATATACAGGTGGTTTTTTTAAAATAATAGAAGCATCTGTGAATAAAAGAGACATTTTTTAATGCGCATCGTAAACATTGCAATATAATAACAGTAAATAGTTTTTTTATAAACAAAAATGCATATATTCTAGTAGTAGTTGTAGATTTATTGAAGCTCTTTAAGTCTTGGATTTTTTTTTCAAAAGCGTAAAATGTCAGACCTTTCAGATTTTAAAAAATTCCATATTGTAGGAGCCTGTCAAGCTGGAGCAAGTGTGACCGAAACATCCTAACTTTCAGATGTTTCTAGAGGTACGGTATCTAAAGTCATGACATCATACACACAGCGTGGCAAGATAAGCTCGGCAAAGCAAAATATTGGACAGAAAGAGAAGCTCATTTAAAGAGACCGATCGCTGTTGAAGCGAATTGTAATGTCTCAAAAGTGAACAACTGAAGTAAAAGTATCCGCAATGCTCAATCAGCAGCTAAATTCTCCAGTGTCAATTAGAAGGCACCTTCATAAGCAGGACATTTACGACAGAGCAACAATTTACAAGCCACTTGTCACAAATGTTGATTCTAAACGTTGTCTATAGTGGTGTCACACTACAGACAAAACCTCGTCGATTAATAAGTGGAAGAAAGAGTAATATAGTCTGACCAATCACCTTCCACACTTTCCCCTACAATAGGACAGGTGCACATTTAAAGGACACCTGCACAAGCGTATGATCGTGATTGTCTCCTTCTAACTATTAAGAATGGAATTGGATCTGTCAAGAGACGGGCAGCCATGTTGTAGTTCTCTGCTGAACCAATCGTAACTCTGAAAAAAGGATCACTGCGGAGAAGTATAGAGAAGTTTTAGCTGTCCAGGTCCATCCTATGATGCAAACTTCGTTTCCTGCAGGAGATGGAATTTTTCTGGAATGATAATGCAGTGGGATTTGTCCGATCATGGTTTCATAAACACGAGGAGGAAGATAAGCATCTATTTTGTCCCATACAGTCACCCGACTTCAGTATAATTGAACCATTAAGGTCTATTTTATAGCGTTCAATACGAAATTGATATCCTCCACCGGCATTTCTCGCAGAACTTTCCCAATATCTCATGAAGAACGGTACATCATTCCTCTGAACACTATTCAGGACTTGTATGAATCGATTTCTGTGTGAATCCATGCTGTATCACATACCAAAGGTGGTCCTACGCCATACTAATAAAGGATTCTTTATAAGTCTAATGTGTTTTCATTATTTTGATGACCACCTGTATGACATTCAAAAAGAAGAATTCAGAGGAAAATATCGTAGTGAAAATCATATTTTCCACAAACAAGACTACCACTACATCAAGAATCTTCTAAAGGTTGCTCGAATTATTCATTGGTAGGTGCGAGCTGTGCAACAGCATGTATTGCTGACACTTGGAGTACTTGCAGTCAGTTTTTCAGTTTAGAATCGTTAAACCAGATTGTGCAGGTTTTGGTATTGTTTATCCGCTTTTCTAACATTGTTGTTAGTTCAAGTTTTAATTCTTACTTTTTTCTATCTCTCAGAGATGATCTTGACCGTATGTTCTACTGTAGTTATTGCTCGTCTAAATGGATACCCTATCTTAAAACAAAGCGGTTATTTTGGAAATGCTTAAACAATTTTTTAGTTGTTTATTTAGTGAATAGCAAACAACACTATTTCGTATATTTTTAATTCTTCTCATTCATCTGATCTATAGCTTCAACCTTTAAGAACAAAATTGTTAACTCCAAATCATCTGTGAGAGTTAAAACATTTTCTTATAAACCTAGGAGAAAAACATTCTTTCTTATTCTATTATAAGCTTCGATTTTTTTGTTATAATCGATGACCATAATATTTGTATATTTCTACTTTTACCTTGAAGCCGAAGGACAAAGCTTTGTTAAACTCCCACATGCAAACTGATACATCAGGTTGGTCTTTTCATTAAAATACTTTCAGCCACATTTACTTTTCGCCAATATTTGCATTCGAAACAATACAACAAAAGAAAAGAAATCTTTATTCGGGAAAAAAAATCGAATTAAAAAAACATATATCAAATCAACCTGAGTAAGACGAGGGAAAAAATAACGAAAAAAGGGAACAAAAAGCCCTAGTGGATCTCTTTTTTTTAATATAAAATGCTCGAAAGCACAAAATCCTCCATTTGTATTTTTCTTTTTTTTCCCTAACATTTTTCCCTTCCTTACCAAAAGCATCTTAAGAAAATGTTTCGTTGTTTTTTCTCAATAAGAACTCACTACATGAAGAAAAAAAACATATAAATAATGGCGCAATTTAAAGTAACAAAGCAAATTAAAAACGCATTAAGGATATAATGATTTCATTACTCGTACGGGTATCAAAAGCAGCATAAATATTCACTTTCCATTTAAAAAACATATTAAAAAATGCATCTATTTCTTTGAACTACTTCTTGGTATTTTTTTACCAGCCTTTTTCCCTTTTGTGTCGTAGCTTAAAGATACATTAAAAATCCAATTAGAACTTTTTAAGGGTTTTTCTATTATTATTACGATATTTAATGCAACACCAGAGGGCATGTTTGTAATTACAAATCTCATGAGAGTTGCATGAAGAACAGATTAAAAGTAATAATTTCAGATTAAAATCAACTTCTGCTATCTCGATAATATTTTCCTAATCTACGGCATTGTTAAACACAAAAGGAAGAGTACGTTCTTTCTTTTTTTTTTATTTTCCGCGAAAAAAATAATGGGGAAAAAATTCGGGTAGTCTGTTAAAGTTGGTTATTATATTGCTACTGTGAGTAAAATGATTCTTCTAGAAGAGCTTTTTTTTTTCAAGATGGCGTCGTAAAATTTTACGCTATTCTAGAATAGCGTTGAATTTTATTGACGACAGCCCATTTCCGATAAAAACATTTTCAAAGCTGCTGCACTGTGAGTAAAGATACTCTTTATATTTACTATATATTAAAACTTGTGAAGTGTTTTTATAACATGAAGCCGGTGGTTATTTTATGGTAGGTAAAAATATCTTTGGTATAATATAAAGAAAGGTATTTTTATTTAATGCTGTGTGCATTATGTGGATTTCTTTTATCGTTACAATGAAACTCGTTTATGAATGCGTAAGCGTTATGTTTTTTTGTTGTCACCGTTCTTAAAGTGTCCGTAGAAACATACTTGATCTTTAAGAATTTTGGAGATTAAATAATAAAAAAATGATTTTATCAAATTGATAATATAATTTTCCTGCAGAGAATAAAGTAGCAATGCTGGTCATTTAGCACATAAAAATAATCCCTATATAGTAAGTTTAATTCTCGCAAAACAGTTTTACCTAAATTATTTTATGACAAAAGTGGAAGCTAACATATTTTGTAGATATTACAGCTTTTAAGTCCCATCTTCTCTTTTATGGTTTTGGAGGGTTTATTTGCGCCATAGAATGCTTGGAATATTGGCTGATAGTTCTGAAACTATTGAGTCACATCTGTTTATAAAAACGACATCTAAAAATGGACCTCATTCGCCTAATTTTCATATCAATCCACAGGGGGGTTTGAAGTCCAATTGAATTAAAAGTATGGCAATCCTTTTCGCAAATTAATTTAAAAAAGAAATAAGTCATAAAGTCGGTTTCACACGAGGCAACTTTGTGCCCGTCAACTCGTTTTCTGTCACTACACCTCTAGAGTGAAGAGAGAAATCCTTTCACAAAGTTGATTGAAACGGAAGTGCCAGACTCATCGGTACTATGATTGAGTCCGAAGAAGCAATAAAAAGTTTTCTCCAATTTCAATACACATGCAGCCCCGTGTGGAAAGAGTAGTTTTCACAAAATCTCCTTAGTTTAGTGGTGATGATCGGAGTTTTCCAATGCTTATAGGAGTAGCACAGCAGGGAATACCTGTTGATCATGTGTAAAGCTTGGCGATTTCTATTCAAAACTATTTCCCGACACTCTGCTCCTCCTCTTATGTGCGGCACAAACTGACTCGAGTTAAAGGGCTATAAATTTGAAACCTTTACCTAGAGCTGATGTTAAACTTTCCGCCTGAAATGGATTGGTTGGGTTAGATTTCTGGTACCAAGTTCTCTAAGTAAATATCTTTCCAGATATAATAAATCACAAAGTAAATGAAAAGTAATTAAAGTATAACTGTATTCATTACAT